AGACGTATACCTGGGTTCACAATTGACAAATACAGGCACATCGGAAGAAGAGGTGAAGCGTAGGTGCAACATGACAAAGGTAGCTGTTGGGAGACTGTACCAAGATCTGGAAAGACCGCCAGATTTCAAGAGCCATCAAAAACCGGCTAGTCAACTGTTTGGTACTCCCAATATTAACGTATGGCTACGAATCGTGGACTCTCAGGCAGGCGGAACGTAAGAAGATCGATGCTACCGAGATGTATTGTTATAGACGTATGCTCCGTATCCCATGGACCGAACGCCGTACAAACGTTTCCATTATAAATGAACTTAATATTACCAACAGGCTTTCCTGTAAAATCCGACTAAAACAACTAAACTATTTTGGACATATAATGAGGAAAAGTCCGGACAATATGGAAAGACTCTTAATTCAAGGCAAGGTGGAGGGACGTAGACCACGTGGCCGCTCTTCGACTCGATGGATAGACCAGATCACGACTAGCTGTAGGAAGCCAATGCACGATGTCATCGAGATGATAAAAGGCAGAGGCGCATGGAGAAAAAGCATCCATGATATTACGCTGACTACTACATTCCCTAATGGGGGTCAGGACTGAAGAGAGAGAGAGAGAGTTCAATCCGCTCGCTATATTGACGATGTTGCCAGTATTACTCATCAAGCAATATTACTGTTATATTAATCAATTAAGGCCGCGTAAACAAACATAACACATACAACTTTCTATACTAATTCATTATAATAAAATTAAATATTAAACATATTGTAATTATATTCCTGCAGATTGAGTGAAAAGTTTTGTTCTTAAATATCTACTCTACATATTATTATAAACGCGTGTTCAGATATTAATCTTGTGGAATATATATCAACATAAAACGAGATGTAATTAACGCAATATCATCATAACAACAGCTGTTTTAGAAACGTCTAGGTTTACTTATTTCACTGAGATTTATAAAAAAAAAGTCCTTTGCCTCGGGTACAGATACCACCACGTTTTGGAAATAGCTCAAAACGAAATAAAATTGAACGAGGCAACAGGAAACGCCCTTCTCACGAGTAGTTTTCAGGCGCTTTTAAGAATCGAAAGTAGGTCGAGGCAAACCGAAGTGGGTCAAGACAACTGGAAATAAACCGAAATGCGACAAAGTTGGGCGACGAAACGCGACCTTGACCTGCTTCGAAGAATTATCCGCATAGTGTAGAGGCTGTTTTACCGATGTGTTTAAATGCCATTTTCTTAAAATGTATAAATTAAATTTTTAAAACGAATTTTAACATTAATAGCTATAATCCATTTCTGTTAATATCTTAAGCTGGTGATATATGATAATCCTCCAAGTATCTTTCGGAACAATCTCAGAAATTAAAGCATTTTATTATACTTTTTAGATGAGAAATTTGGTCATTTCGCTTAATTTGAATTTTCCCTAAGAAGGGTTCTTTCTAATAAAGAACTTTTTAATTTGGTTGAAATTAAATTTATTCTGTAATTTTTACAAAATATTTGAGGTGGTTGTATAATTAATGGGTTAATCAGCTTTAAAATACCTGGAACAAAAATTTAATGCTGTAATATTTTATTCAAATTCTTTCACATGGTTATTTTAGGAAATAATCATATAAATACGTTTTTTTTTCTACCGTAAAGCCCTTCAAAATCATTATTAATGTTCCAAAGCCCTAATATTTTAGAATATCCATTCTAATATAAAATATTATTTATTGACCGAGACCCTAATATATCACATGAACCGTAAAAAAAGGAATCGAATGTTTTATATGAGCCTTACAAAAATCTGTTTTAAATAAACGTACTTTTCTGTTTCTATGCCAACATTCATTTTTTGATAAACCGCTTAAAAACTACGGTATTTTTATTTTATCCTGGTTCAGTAAAATATTATTATTAGTTATATTATTTGGAGGCAAACTTCTGGACGTGGAAGGCAAAATAGATTTGTCAAGAGCGTCTGGCATGTTTTTGGCCGGGAAAAGTATATCGCCAGATATATATATTTAAATTCATCAGTTTCTTCCTTTAGCTGATTTGTTAATTAGCGAAATTTGAATATTAACAAATTTTGCTACGTCCATTGATGGACATAATTTGTGCGTAGCCTCTTTATATTGTTCAACAGATATTTTATTGGGTATTTCTTTAATTCTTGTTTGTAATTCCTGGCATGTTTTTATAATTTTAATTGTCTATTCTCTACAGTTAAGTGTTTAATTGATTTTATTATTTTTACTTTTCGAGGAGTATCATTACACAAATTTAAGTCTTTTTATAAAAGGCAACCTAGGCAATCAACCTAGCTTCCTATTTTAATCTAAAATATATATTTTTATTTAATCTAAACTACCTTTATTTTACATGTAGTTAAGCCATGCTCTATTACTCAAAATCCATCAAATATAACCATGAATAAAGTTGACACAATGTAGAACCGCTATTAAAAAGCATAATGAATATATTCTATGACCTAAATTATACGTCACTCATTAATAAGAATTTTACCCTATTTTATTACCAAGGAATTACATTTTATTGATCGCTTAAGCACAATAAAATTTAGGTCACCACCTCAACGTTGTTTATATGAAAGTTTATTTCAGTTAGTTATTATCGCCACAACCTGATTTAAAATAGATGTATGTAATTGTACAGTATGAGTATTTTCTCTCTTATTATAGACTGTAACTTTTTTATTTTTGGAGATAGAATACCTAGGTGTTTCAAAAATAGAAAGGTGTTTCTATGGCGAGACAAAAACATATCTAAACACTTAAAAAAAGGCTTGTTCACTGCCTGATATTTCCTATATTAATGTTTGGCTCCGAGTCCTGGACGATGAGAGAGTCAAAAATTAAAAAAAATGACGCAACTGAGATGTACTGTTGGCGACGAATGCTCAGAATTCCCTGTACTGCCCGGCGAACCAATGAATCCATAATCCAAGAACTGAACATCACAGAACGTCTCTCAACTTCTATACAGTCACGTAGATATACTTAAATATTTCGGTCACGTTATGAGGAGGGATACTGACTGTAGGAAAAACTCATTATACAGCGCAAGGTTCCAGGAAAATGACCAATAGGCCGCTCGCCCTCCCGATGGAGCTATCAAAAATCACCCACAAGCCACTACACATGCTTGTACATGAAGCACGAGACAGGGAATTATGGAGACAAACCTCACACATCACCTGACCACTGCATTCCTCTTGTAGGTATAAAGACAGAGAGAGAGAGATACACTTTCTATAAACTAAAATTTTTGAAGATACTGACTTTGACAAGAGAAAATGCTTTCTGTCTTTGTTTGTGGTTGTTCTTAGCAACCGCTATAGCAGCGTCCTACAACGTACACGATCCAAAACAAGTTTTGGCGGGCAACGGAGCATTCCAATCTAAATTTATATCTTTTATCTACGTTCTATCCGTCCTTGCTTGCGGTTAGTCTTTAAGGCTGTTTTTAAAAATCGCTAGAAGCACCCTACAGCGGATGCGATGTAAAACAATTATAACTTTTGGCGGGAAGCCGAACATTCCAATCTGAATTTAACTGCTTTATCTACAGTATGTCCTCGCAATGGTTTTAGAAGAGGAAATTAAGCACTAAAGATCAAAACGCGTTTCTATGGTAATATATTACCATTTCGTTTTCAATACTTGCTAGAAAGTTACTATTAATATTGATTAACGTTATATTTTTTCAGTTGTTAAAGTATCACCCATTAATTTAAAAAGATGAAGAAAAAAGACTCAAAGTCTCAGTCTCAACGATTATATTCAGCTAAATAGTGACACGTGTTTCGCTCATACGAGCATCATCAGACAAAATACGTTCACATTTTACACATTAAAACAACACTAACAAAACTAATGTTGTTTTAATGTGTAAAATGTGAACGTAAAATGTCTCTAGTATTTACTACATTTTATGTCTTTTGTAAAAAACGCCACCGTGCATACTTTTAGAGAAAAAAAAATCCGCAACTGACTTCCAAAAAAATGTTTCAAGCTATGGAGGCGCATAAAATCTATAACTTTTAAATCAATTAATGTTCGAGTTTATTTTTGATTGATGCCCTCTAACGGACAAACGAAGCACTTTTGTATAAAGGCAAATTATGCGCAATTAACTTATTTTATTGAATATTATTATTTAATATATAGTTATTCTAACTCTCGATATATTTTGTAGATCTGCTTTGGAAAAAAAATTTTCGTCAAAAACTATGCGATGTAGCGTTTTTTTACAAGACACAAAAAATATAGTAAATACTAGGGGGGGGGCATTTCACGAAAAGAAAACCTGTTGTCGGTGGATTTGACAAAATATTTATACTAAAATTTATGTAGGGATGGGGGAAGTTGTCACCCTTCCCGTACTTTTTCTTGATTTTTGCGAAAGCCAAATGTTACATATAGACACCCAAAATCTCATTTAGATCGGAATAACGGTTCTTAAAATATCTGAAGAAATATGTTTTGTTTTGGTTGTATTTTTTTATTTTTTTTGAAATTTTATGCCCTCTAGCGAACAAACAAAGTACTTTTATATAGAGGTAAATTGTATCCAATGAACTTATTTTGATTTCAAAAATACGTAGTAGTTCTATGTCTACGGAATATTGGAACACCCTGTATACAATCAAAAGTAGGATAAAACCAAAATGCTAACTCTGTACAAAATATTTTTATATTTCTAAAATAACTTCTATAAAACGGTAAATAAAAAATTGTATAATTTGTTCTTTCAACTTTTAACTGTTCTTAGATAAACTGAAACATTACTAGAGAAGAATAGCTTTTTATTTTTTTTAATCTGTTTTTTCTTCTTTTCTTTTAATCTTGTTTTTTATTTTTTTTGTCACTTTTGTTTTCACCTTTTTTCTCTCACTTTTTTTTCTTTTTATATTTTCTTTAAATATGTATTTATATTAAATAGTAAATTAATCAGACTATTATTTTTTCATTCTAGGGTAAGGATCTGCCGGCCAAAGATCTTTCTGGTACAAGCGATCCATACGTACGGGTTACACTGCTACCAGATAAAAAACACCGCCTCGAAACAAAAATCAAACGGCGAACCCTGAACCCCCGATGGAACGAGACCTTTTACTTCGAAGGATTCCCTATTCAGAAATTGCAGTCCAGAGTGTTGCATCTCCATGTCTTCGATTACGATCGATTCTCCAGGGACGACTCGATCGGAGAAGTGTTCTTGCCATTGTGCCAGGTAAGTGTCTTGTAAAAGTCAATTGAAATAAACGTACAAAGTATTATATTTCCATATGCACTATGCGAACAAAATGACTTACAAAAAGACTTCATTTTTCAACTAAAGAGCGAAAGTTTATTTAGTGTTTATCAACATGTGGAACGACGAGGATGTAATTATACAAAAAAGGTTAGTTTACCTTTTTTGTAATAAGTTTATTTAGTGTTTATCAACATGTAGAACGACGAGGATGTAATTATACAAAAAAGGTAAACTAGAGTTTTGTCATATAAAAGTACTATACAACCGTTTGTACTTAATAACACCACTATACTGACTCTTCCTTCCTTATTCATTTTTTAATCCGTTTGCTTAATCCACAAGCACATATCTGCTATTCCGGAAAGGCCATCTCACAACTATCCACTTAGGAATGCCGAGCACGATCTTTATCTGCCAACCCCGAGCTCAGAACTAGTTAAGGCTCAATACCGTACAATGCCAAAAAAATGTACAATCATCTGCCTTTGAATATTAAGTCACTTTCATTCTTTCCCGCATTTCGCAAAGCGCTGAAATCATACTTACTGGAGAGAGCCCTATATGCGGTAAATGACTTTTTTGTTATGTTTAATCATACCTACAAAGAACGTATTAAACAAAAAGTAAAAAAAAGTATAAAACGTAGTAAACAAAAAGTAAAAAAATGTACAATCATCTGCCTTTGAATATTAAGTCACTTTCATTCTTTCCCGCATTTCGCAAAGCGCTGAAATCATACTTACTGGAGAGAGCCCTATATGCGGTAAATGACTTTTTTGTTATGTTTAATCATACCTACAAAGAACGTCTTAAACAATAAGTAAGCTCACAGAACACACAATCCTCGGCCATGGAGAAAAATTGAAGAGAGAATAAATAGTATGGATAATTTTAAAATATTTTTTTTAGTTTAAAAGATCAACCCGTTTGCTTATTTTCAAACTATGTAGTTGAATATATTTTAAGCAAAATGCTGTATAATTTTTGGCTCGGTAAATATTCTAATTAGATTTCCTATAAATTCAAGATATGCCACAGTATGTGCATATCAATTTCACGTTATTGTGATATACCCCCAACATCGTTAATCAATTATCAACATTAAACGGTCAATATTTTCTTTGTTATGATTAGTTATCCTTTTTGTTTGGATTGGAAATGACTTTGTAATTTTTTAGGTTTCTGTATTGAAAAAATCCGTAAAATGTAACTCAAACGCTAAACAATCTTATTTAGTAAGAGGCTAAAGAAACTATTTAATTACGAAAAAAAAATCCATTTTCTGAATAAGTAATAACGACGAATTTAATAATCATAATATTAAAATAAAAATGTTATTTAGCAATAAATCAATAAATTTAAGCAATAGATGTATATTATTTCTCTAGTTACCGTAACCTTGTCTATATTACTTGATTGGTACTCTTCAAAAGAATTTGTATGGATTTGATTATAATACTTTAATATACCTACTTTTCTTTTTAATATACTTATCAACATACCGACTATACAGGGTGTCTCAGATTTTAATCGGGAAAATTTAATAGACGATAGAACTTGCAAAAATAAAACAAAAAGTTCATATCAACTTGTAAGATTTAAAGCTTCCTTTTCGAGATACAGGGTGTTAAAGTTACATAAAAAAAAGAAATTAAGATATTTGAAAAACTATTTAATAGATTTTGATATAACTGGACCCGTTTTTAATACTTACTATGGGACTTAATTTGATGTAATTAGATTTAAGTTTAATGGCCATGGGCGGCGGTAGGGTATCACTGTTAAATTATAAAAGGAAAAAAATAGGCACGCCACTGCTTTTTTAGAAGTTTAATATTATTTTTGGATTTAGTAATTAAAAATATCATTTTTATGTCTCCTGACTTTTTTGTCTATCTTGCTTACTTCTTGAGAAAAAAATTAAATTCATTTATTCGCTCCACTCTGGACAATAAATTAAATAATAATGGTTAGTACCAACAATTACAATAATTGTTAGAATTGATAACCACTAACATCAACGCATTGGTTTATGGTATTGTTGCTGTCACATTAAAATCTGAGACACCCTGTATATTTATTTCAAATATGTGTTGCTAAATGTATAAATTTATTTTTTAATATTATATCTTCTTTATATTTGGATCAATAGAAAACAAAAATTAGTTTGTTTTTTGTTTGTTAATCCAGTTCGATTTCATTCTTTGATAGATGGTTATTATTAATTTTGATTAACGTCATATATTTTGCTGTTGTTCAAGTATCGCATTTTCCGATAACTATTTTTGAGCTAAATAAATATTTTATTTAACATTTTAAAACAGCAAAAACTATATCGTTAATTAAAATTCTATAAATTTGACTGAATTTATTATTTTGAGTCTTGAAATTGTTATTACAAACACTAAACCTTTTTCTTATATGCAATAATCCATCAAAACTGTTCATACTATTATACTCCATTTCCAGTTTGATACCATTTCCATGTGTTACAGCTTTTCGTAACAAAATTGGAAAATCCCTTATGGAGTTCAATTTCCGTATCAGCGACTTGAAAAAAATAAGTAGAACCCCAGGCGCTGTATATTTCTAACAGCGTATAATATTGAAAGGGTTCTGAAAACCCTTCAGAACGATCAAGTTTTCGGGTTTCGCCTTATCCAAAAGAGCTTATCGGTGGAATGTTTACGAAATGAGGATGGAGAAATGTCAGTGAACCATTTCATAGCGATACTCTTAAAATGGAGTATCTATACTATCTCCATAAAAAAGCCACGCAACATTACTGTCTATCAATATTTTTAAAAAGGAAATTATAATGGATCTCATAAGATAGGAAAAGCCATACTGATATATTGCGTATAGCTTTCGAGCGCTTCTGTATTATTATAAAATATACATTATAAAAGATAATATTTAATCTTCTCGCTGTAAATCCTGAATATAAAAGCTACACAGCAATATATAGTACGAGAGCTAGCAACGTCGGAAAAACAAGCATGCGGTCGGTCTGGCTGCCGGTAAACGTTGCGTTCCCTACTGCGGATTGAAAGAAGATCCTATATTTTTATTAGTCCTTTAAATTCTAGTATTGAATATAAACCGACCGAGTCTCCATAACTCAGTGCGTAGAGTTTCCGGCTACGAACCGAGGAGTCAGAGTTCGAATCGGGGTCAGTGCAAAAACTTTTTTATTTTATTTTCGTTTATGTTCTGATAGTAAAGTATTAAATATTTTTTTTTGAATCACCAGAATTATTTAATACTTTACTATCAGAATATAAACGAAAATAAAATAAAAAACTCTTTGCCCTTGCCCAGATTCGAACTTTGAATCGTCGGTTCGTAGTCGGAAACTCTACGCACTGCGCTATGGAGACATGTTCGATTTATATTCAATACTAGAAGTCATAGGATTAAATTAAAAAAAATATAGGAACTTCTTCCGATGCGCAGTAGTGAACGCAACAGGTATCGGCAGCCAGACGGGCCATGCTGTTTCAGAGAGCATAGTAAAAGATATATGAAAGAGCCAGACGTCTTAAAATACTCTTTCGAAAACGTCGCTAGCTCTTAGATCGGTAAAGCTTTCGAGAGCTTCTGTATTATTATAAAATATACATTATAAAAGATAACCTTTAATCTTCTCGCTGTAAATCCTGAATATAAAAGCTACACAGCAATATACATATAGGTATCATACAGATTTTATTAAAGCAAATTTCAAGATAATTGGCCCAACCAGTGAACATCATCACTAGTCAGTTAAGAACCATGACAAAAATCAAATCGCACCAAAAAAGAAACATAAATTTCTCATCTAGTTAGAATTTGGAATCCCTATTTAATTCAACAATAGTATATTGTTTTATTAGGAGTAAAAATGATATTTTTTTACGTCAAGACTGTACTTTGACAATACAGGCGAAACACAAAAAATCAGTTTTGCTCTAAATAGAACATGTTATTTGTTTTTAAACATTACAAATAATTTTTTAAACAATTTTAAACGTTTCAAAAAATTTTATAATAAGATTTAAAAGTAATACCTTGTATGTAATGATATATCGAGGAAGCTATGGTTACGGGTTGGTATGTAGTTGTTTTGAAAATTTGGATTTTTATTAAGGCTGTATTCCGTTGCAAATACATACCAGGCGAGCCACCGGTAAACCGGTAAACTACAGTAAAGAGCGGTTCCTGAAAAACGTCGGTCTGATACGGAACGGTTTGATAAAATACTGGAAACGTCTAATATTTACGTTTTCTAAATTTCAATACCTCTGTTATAAAATTTATCTTTTATGTATTTTTAATGTACCTATTATCTACTTTTACGTTTACTTCTTCTTTTCAGTGGAGTTTAATATTGAAAAGTACTAATAAATAGTACAAGTATAAGTACAATAATAAAAGTACTAGTATAATAAACTGTTAAACTCGTTAGGCAGCTCAAGTGAAGATTTGCAGGTTCAATATTAAAACAGATCAATAATAAACAAACAAATCTAATCAATATTTATATTTCTATAGCTTACAAAACATTCACGATTACTTGTTGTCTTGTTTTTCATGTTTTCTTTAAATGTTCCTGACTTTAGGAAACAATGGCCCTAAAAAGTCATTCTATTTAGTTAATGAAATTTATTTACCTTTACTACCTACCTCCATTGCTTTTGGATGTAAATACAAAATATTATTACAAATTTTATAAATTAAATGAGAATTTCACTCGAACTTATAATAATATTTGCTTGATTTCTGTCACATAAATGACATTGATTGATAAATAAAACCAGAAAACCCAGCCTTCTCGCGCTGGTTAATTTGGTGACAGTTATAACCGAATTTTTCAGGAACCGTGTTCCGTAATAAGAAAACTTTCAGGAAAGCGATAGAAACGGAACATAAAACCATAACCAAGGTAAGCAACGGAATACACCCTAAGTCGGTCCCACACGATGTGGCAAACACCTTCCAACGTTGGACTTTTGCTAAACATTTGCCACATCGTTTAGGAGACATACTTGTTAATTGCAAAATTGCCAAAACCTGCGCCAAATGTTGGTTACAACGTTGAAACCAACGTTGACAAGCCGATTTTGAGTAATTTAAGAAAAACTGTATCTATTTTTAAATTAAAACTGAACAGGTAACAATGCAAAACCAGACATATGTCAACGTACCTTAAGTTATCATCCTATAATTTTGTCAATGTCAAATTGTATTTTTTAAACGTTAAGCTTTTACCTCATTCAAACCTGTTTTAAATTGCAAAAATACATTTCCAGGAATTTCGAAAAATGCCTTTCGTAAACCTATGTACTTAACGTAGTAATGTAAACAGCACAACGAATTAGATTTGACAATGATAAATTCATAGGTTAACAACTCAAAGTATGTCGACATTTGATTGGTTTTACACTGTTACCTGTTTGATTTTAAACCAATTTTAATTTAAAAATAGATGCATTTTTTCTTAAATTACTTAAAATCGGCTTGTCCAAAATTATTCAAATTTGGCATGAGTATTCAGAATAGGTAGACCTCTAAATCACCTATTTACGATTTATTTTTAAACCTATTTACTATTTACGAGCTGTAAAATTAATAGGAGAGCCAATATTTGAACAGTTCAAAATTTGCAAGGGATTTCCTGTTTCCAACGACCCCCCGATATATTGATAAACCTAGGGTGCATAGACTGTGTTTATTTAATAATATCTATAAATATTAAATATTAATTTTCTTACAGGTTGATCTCAGTGAAAAGCCCTCATTCTGGAAAGCACTCAAACCTCCCGCAAAGGACAAATGTGGAGAATTACTTACCTCCCTTTGTTATCACCCCAGCAACAGCATTCTTACTCTAACATTGCTCAAGGCCCGTAACCTTAAAGCCAAAGACATCAATGGAAAATCTGGTAAGTATTTTTCCTGAAATTCGAAGGTTACTTTGAACGGCTATTCAGGTCAAGAAGGCGAGGAAAGTTTTAACATATAAAATAGAGGGAGTCCTATTTAATAAATATAATTTTTCTTAAAATCTCAGTCTTGTAAAAAGACGGCGTATATTTTCGGGTATTTCAAGTCCAAAATTGTAAATAATGACATAAATATACAGAGTTGTTCACCACATACGACACGGAGTATTTTTATTTTAGCTAAACGATTAGATTTTTACAAATTGTAAGTTTTGGGTTGGTTGAAGGACTGTTAGAGGTACAATTTAAAAATATTTTTACAACATACAGAGTGTCCCAAATCAATAAAAAATATCAAAATTGTATTTTTTTAAATGGAACACCCTGTATATTATTACATTTTTAGTTTCTACGATTAAAATAAAAGTAGATTTGATAAAGGTTATCACCCTTAAACCTTACCGTTTTTGAAACATTTTCAATTTCGTGAAATTGCCGTAAAAATTTCAAGGCTTCATTTCTCCAAGGGTATCAAAGTTTTTAATACTAAATATTTACTGAAGTTTAATTATTGATTAGTTTTTGTGTTGCAATAATAAAAATAATACTACTTCATACAGAGTGTCTAAAAATTTATTTTAAATTATTTCTGGCTTTAAACGACAATAACTTGTTTAATTTAAATGGAACATCCTGTATATTTTATGAGAATCAGATGCACAATTTAATTGTCCATCAAATTGTATTGTACCATTTTTTACCTATCTCTTCAAGGTTTCGTAGAAAATGCGTTTTCTAATAATTTAGACCTCATTTATCAATATACCCATGGAATATTGACATTTTAGATTGTTTTTAAAACAACAAATGTACAAAATGTACAGGTGCTAAAAAAGATAATATTACCAGTCTATTTGTATACAAAAATAAAACTATTTAAATCTTCATAAAAGACTATACCATTAATTAAATATACCACCAGTATTTCCGCCCAAATATTAATTAATTACATATTTAATTGTGTTAGTTAATAAATTATTCTAAATAAATGGGGATTTGGAATCAGAAATCAATATAATAATAAGTTATGAAAATGAACATCTCTGTTGTTATAAACAAGCATTCCTAAAAAAATGAAATAAAATTTTTAAGGTGTTACTTTTTACCACACTGTCTAATATACATACAAAATTCAGTTTTTAGTGTTTGGAGCAATTATTATTAATCAATGCAAGCAGTCCATTAATGTAGTTTGAATACTGGAATCATATTAATTGGTCCTTTCTATAAATATTTAAACATTTTTTTTATTTGTTAATGACATAAACGAACTATATCGACAATATTGGTATCTGTACCCTTTAAAAATTTGTTACGTCTTTAAAAATTATCTAAAATGTCAATATTCCATGGGTATTTTGATAATTGAGGTCTAAATTATAAGAAAATTTATTTTCTACGAAAACCTGAAGACATAGGTATAAAATGATATAACATAATTTGATAGACAATTAAATTGTGTGATTCTCATAAAATATACAGGGTGTTCCAATTAAATTAAAGAGTTATTACCGTTTAAAACCAGTTATTATTTAAAATAAATTGTTAGACACTCTGTATAAGATAGTATAATTTTTATTATTGCAACACAAAATTTAGTGAATAGAAATACCTCAGTACAATATTTGGTTTTTGGTTTGGTTTATAATTATTACTGTATTTTGACAAAAACCTAAATATTTCAAAAACGGTAAGATTGAAATGCGGTAAACCTTTATTTTAATCGTAGAAATTTACCTTTATTTTAATCGTAGAAACTAAAAATGTAATAATATACAGGGTGTTCCATTTAAAAAATATAACTTTGATATTTTTTGTTTATTTGGGACACTCTGTATCTTGTAAAAATATTTTTAAATTGTAGCTCTAATAGTCCTTCAACGAATCCAAACAATTTCCAAAACAATTTGCAAAAATTAAATAGTTTAGCTACAATACTCTATACTATTGTGGTTCAGAGATATGTGATTGGCATGTTTGCTAGACAGTTAACTTTAACTAAGTCTATACGAATAGTATTGCAACCGAATCATTAATATTAGCCAATATTAACTGCATAAACTTGATTAAGAACATATTGCCAACATAATATTAATTACATTTTTTATATTCTTTGGAAATTTGAAAAAAAAAATCTGATACAGCGTAAAAAGGGTATTAATGTTTTCTGATAGGAAGCAGCAATCTCGATATATGCCAGAACACATGATAAATGATGTAGATGTTTTTTTACTCTACCCTAAGAAAAACCGTTATGCCATAATTCTCCTGCGACCCATTTCCCATTTTCAGATTGTATAAAGCCTATCCTTCATAAAAAATCCTAATATGTTTAGCTAAATATCCCTTACACATTCTAAAACAAAAACATTGTGAGATAACGTTCCTATCGCATGTATAAAAAGAGTTTCTTTTGGTCGAGCACGATGTATCGAACGTATATTTTTATATAAAAAAAGTCTTTACAGAAATAACTAGTATATATTTGTATGTGCCACTAGTTAGTACTTGACACTTTAAACAAACGATAGAAAAGAGTATAACAATAGTAATTTTGCTGAAATTGGTAAAATGTTCATTTTGGTTTCCAAATTATAAATTACTGATTTTCATATATGATCAATCTCTTAATGGTCAATATTAATTAATTCTAAAACTAACATAATTTATTATACTAATATCTACTCTATAAAAGTTATAAGGGAACCTATTAAACTTTCGTAGAGAATAGGGTGTAAAACAAATTTACAATACGATGATAGAGTTTCATAGTTTTTTTGTAGACTATAAGATAAAGGAGCAGTAAATTATGGGGGTATGCTATAAATTACAGTTATTTTAATTGATATCGTCAGTGAAACGTGATAACCTGCTAACTCCATCTTTTACGTTAATAAGTTTTTTATACCATTAGAAAGAGAAAAAAATACTCTATAAGTAGGGAAAGCAAATAATTTTTCCCATTAAAGAAAATTTGCTTTTTTAACTCAATAATATCTGCTAACTCCCAATGATCTGAAATAGCCACAGAAATGCTGCTATCTCCGTAATTTCCGTTACAATCACGCTAAAGTAAACACACGGATTCTTACTCGTATGTTTCTTTAGTACAGTACGTCGATCCAGGGTCGCACTAGACCAAAGTGGTTCGGGTTGGAAAGTAAGGAGGGGTCCGTGTGGATTTTTTTGCGTATTTTTTCGCCTTACGTTTTTGGTCAATTTTTCCCTATTACATAAATATATATATATAGGGTGAGTCTTAAATAAGTACAAATATTTTTAGGGGTAGTATATTTCGACCCAAGAAACACGATTATGAGTTTTTTGCGCGATTTTTTTTTAAATTTGGAATTTTTTAAAAAAATCCAATTTTTTTTTAATTTTTAGTTTAAAAACATACTTTGTTTGTAATATGGCAACATAGGTAGTAGATTAAATTTGCAAGAAAGAAAATCCAATGATTCTCAAAATTATAGCAAAAAATTGGAAATTTTAAAAGTGAAATAACTCGGTTGTTTTGGATTTATTTGAAAAAACGGTAAAGATGTTCTTTTATCGAGATTTACCAGCCCTGAAAATATTTGCACTTATTTAAGACTCACCCTGTATAGAAATCAGGGAACTACCCTAATGCAATGTAATCAATTTTTTTTTTGGACTGCTTCTAGACCGACGATATCTACATATATAAAATTCTAATGTTTATCTGTGTGTCGTCTCTACTGAAGTAACGACTTCCTCTAGACAGATGCTTTTTTTACTAAAAGATTGGCTCTTCTAAAAACTGCCGTCGCCGGATTTTTTGTTTTTCATTTAATTAAAAAAAAATTAAAAGTATTTTTTTCCTGATGTCGTGGCGGATGCGCCAGGCTTCAACTAGTTATAAATATATGGTTATGAATATCATATTTTTTAAATTTAATTGACTATTTCTAAATCTGTTTGTGTAGGTAATATTCAATTCTATTTTCAAAATTTCAAAAAATAAAGGTTGCTATCTCCAGAAGTATATTTTTATTTCTTATTTCTGCAAGACGATTATCTGCTATCTCCCTATTGTGTCTGAAAAAAATGATGTAACACGAAATGTTCAATTTTATTGTTCCCCAGCAAATAAAATTCTTATCTCTTTATCATATTAACGCATGAAAATACTTCCTACATGTGTACATATTTTTCTGTACCGTTTTTTTTCCGTTTTTACATATGTTTTGTACCGTTTGCTCTCCTGTAATATTAGAAATAATGGAGTTAGCAGTTTATCACATTTCACCGACGATATGATATATTTATATTATGTAAAATATTTTTGAGAAAGCAACTTTAGTATTGTTTAGATAATTGATATCGAAATTATATTATCAAATAATTAATTGAATCAATCAATTTTATGAACTAGTCATTAATATTTTTGTTTAAACTATCTAAAATTATGTGGATAATTTCTAAATTGATGTTTATAGTATTAAAGATATGTCAATGAAAATTATCAATATTTCATTTTATTTTCATAATTGAAAGTCTACGGTACTATTATTATATTTTATATTATATCTCATACGAACTTCTCACATATATCTTTTTATTTTGTATGTAATATAGAATTTATAATGTATTATAATTAATTTAGCGATAGATACGTACTTAGAAAATTACTAATTCAATTTTAAAGAAAATGACTAACAGTCTGTAATAAATACATTTACATATTTTAAGCATTTAATTCTTAAATGTTTCATTTTATATTTAGTTTATAATTTGGTAAGTTGTGATAACTTGACCCAATTAAAGCAATATTATCTTATATTCATAATTCGAGAGAATATGATTCACATTTTATTTTTTTAGTTTTTCTTATTCCTATTCTGAGCCTTCCTAGATCTGGAATGCTATTAGGAAATGTGCATCTTTTTTCATCTGTGCATAGATACAATCGGTAATAACAAAAAACCGAAGAAAGCTTGAAAAAAGAGTAATTCAAAATTTTGGAAAATTATTTAAGTAGAATAAATAATACACATGAGAAGTTTTCTATTATTAAGTTAAGGATATTAATTTTTATTTATATATATAAAATTATTTGGTTTTTATACTTGATTATTGATATTAATGTATATTCTATTCAACGACTCAAGAAAGATTGCGACTCAATTGTCACTGTCAGGGATCCTCCACGTTGCAGAAGCTATAGTTGCAATTATACTTATTAATATTGTATATTATAGAAAATAATAAATATAATTATAATATTTATATAATTCTTAGTATTTACAGAATATATTATGTAGTTTTTCGGTAATACATTAATAAAAGTATTGGTTGGGATTAACATTTTTCTGACACTCTAACACACTATTTGATTTTAGTGTAAATTTCCAGATAACGGATTCTTCCTTATATTTTAAATGAGTTTTTGAAGTGAAACTTCTTTACGCGCGATGGGAGTAAAAGCATTTTGCTCATTCGGTAGCTTAGAATTAGAATTATTAGAGTTACGCAACTCGCATTTTCATTTAGAGGACATATTTATTTCAAACCAATAATCAATGAGAATATTTCTATAATTTATCAAAATTACTGTAAACCACTATAAATACAAATTGTTGGTTAAGTTCAAAAACGTTTCTCTTCTTAAATAAACACGTTAACATTATTAGGCATTTGCATAAAAGTGTGTATTTTGGGTGGTATTCCACAAAATTTAATGGTCAGTATTAATTAATTCTAAAACTAACATAATTTATTATACTAATATCTACTCTATAAAAGTTATAAGGGAACCTATTAAACTTTCGTGGAGAATAGGGTGTAAAACCAATTTACAATACGATGATAGAGTTTCATAGTTTTTTGTAGACTATAAAATAGAAGAGCAGTAAATTATGGGGGTATGCTATAAATTACTGAGTTATTTTAATTGATATAATATACATATTATGTAAAATATTTTTAAGAAAGCAACTTTAGTATCGTTGAGATAATTAATATTTTTGTTTAAGTTGTCTAAAATTTAAAAAAATGAATAAAACTCAGTTGTTTTAGATACATGGGAAATGAATAAAACTGGGGAGAGAGATAAAACTACTTTTTTAAGTACGAATAAATAATACACATGAGAAGTTTTGTATTATTAAGTTAAGGATATTAATTTTTTATATGTATAACATTATTTGGTTTTTATACTTGATAATTGATATTAATCTATAGTCTGTTCAACGACTCAAGGAAGATTGCGACACAATTGTCACTGTCAGGGATCCTCCCGTTGTAGAAGCTATAGTTGCAATTATACTTATTGATATTGTATATTATAGAAAATAATAAATATAATTGCATATATAATTCTTAGTATTTACAGAATATATTACATAGTTTTCGATAAAACACTACTAAAAATATTGGGTGAGATTAACATTTCTCTGACACTCCTAACACACTATTATTTGATTTTATTGTAAATCAAATAATGCCGTTTCAGTACGTATTCTTACTTATATTTTAAATGAGTTTTTGAAGTAAAATTTCTTTACGCGCGATGGGAGTAAAAATTCGAGGCCGTAGTGTGTCACGTAGTATGCTTGACCTTGACCATATCTTGACGCACGAGCTAGCGAGAAAAAAAATGCTAAGAATCGCGCAAATACCAAAAAACATTTGATTTAAAGCTAAGAAAAGCATCATAATAAACTTGATACTATACGTGGGTACCATTATCCTCTGGTTGTGTGCTAGAAAGTAAATTTTCATGCATATTTCATCGATAGGTTTTTAGCTTCTGAATAACGGTCTAAGTAAAGCATTTTGCTCATTCGGTAGCTTAGAATTAGAATTATTAGAGTTCCACAACTCGCATTTTCATTTGGAAGACATCGTCATATTTATACACTATAAATACAAATTATTGGTTAGGTTCAAAAATGTTTCTCTTCTTAAATAAATTTAAGCGTTAACATTATTAGGCATTTGCATAAAAGTGTGTATTTTGGGTAGTATTCCACAAAATTTGCAGGCTATTGAGGAAACAGAAAATGTACAAATTATAGAAATAAATTCAAAATATCATTTATATTAAAACAGCATTATATGTCACTTTTTTAGTGATGGGTTGTTATTTAACTATCTGTTATTTTATAACAATTATTTAGAAATAACATAACGCAACCGTTACTACTTCTAAAAAATAACAGATATAAAATAAGTCGGCGCTCTGCACCGCCAAGAAATTCTATGCTGCTCGAAGCAATTCCAAAAAACAACTAGTATGGATGGAAAACATGTTATTTCGTCAACCATCGATACAGGCGGCGAGACAACGGACAACGAAGTGGGGAATGCGCTACGGCGAACGTAGCTGCTTCGGTCGATACCGTCGACGGTCGTATTGGGCTTACAACATCTTAAAAAACTTGTGTCTAGCCCTAGCAGGCAACTGTTAAACCTGACCAATCACGTTAGAGTTTTTGACAAACACAAATGAATTAACACACTCTAAATAACCACGCTAACCAACCTGATTGGTCAAGCTTAATAGTTGACTGCTAGGACTAGACACTTCTCTTAAAAATAATAAGATATAAAGGAAGCAGGTTTTTTGAAACAGTTGCGGGCATAACGCCTGGCGGTCGAGATAACAGGAGTGGGAAAGGAACGCTGCTGCATCGGTCGATTGTCGATAACAGTACGTTAAGTTTCAATATTTAGGTATTTATTTATTCTGAAAAATTTTCAGAATAATATTTTAAGATTTTTTAAAAATGTATACAGGGTGTTTTGAAAAATCTGGTCATTGATTAATCACGATCCCGCTTAAAGCCCTTGACGTAAAAAGCTGATTTTTGGAAAACGGATTGACTTTAGGGTGTAGAGGTTCGATAAGAAGGGATTTTTCGAAACTCGAATTCTAAGGGGGTAAAACCACCCTCAAATATTAGAATATTTTTTATTTAAAAACCGGTGAGTTTTTCGGAAAAACTCTTAATCACGTATATTTTATTTCGTTGTTTTACATATTTTAAGATTTTTTTTAAATATATACAGGGTGTTTCATAAAATATGACCATTGACTAATCACGATTCTGCTTAAACTGCTTGACGTTTAAAGCTGATTTTTGGCAAACGGATTGACTGTGGGGTGTAGAGGTTCGACAAGGAGGGGTTTCTCGAATCTCAAATTCCAAGAGTGTGAAAACGCCCTTCAAATATTACAATATTTGTTATTTAAAAAACGGTTAGTCTTTCGGGAAAACGCTTGGACATGCATAATTTATTTTGTTTTTTTACATATTTTGAAATTTTTAAAAAAATCATACAGGGTGTTCCAAAAAGTTGAGTAATTGATTAACCACGATCCTGCTTAAACTGCTCGACGTTTAAAGCTTATTTTTGGCAAATCTGAGAAAATTTTATCCAGTTTGTATGTTAATAGAAATTCTTGCTTTGCTTTATCATCACCATTACAAATTATTAATTTGACGCGAACGAAGTTACGGGTACACGCTAGTGTAAGTGTAAAATTAGTTCGAACTCTAGTGTGTAGTTGGTTTACTTATGAAGAATATACTACACATTTTCTTATATTGCTATTTTTTGACCGCAAATGGTAAAATTATAACTAAGAGCTTCTCGCCCGTCGAGTGAGATGCACCCTGTACACTGCTACGCAATTCAGGATCTACGCGTTTGAGGGGCAAGGCGTAGGTAGATCGGAATGTATACGTATAGACGAGTGGCGGAATTTTGGCTTTTTTATATCGCAATTTGTAAACAGCGCTTATTTGTAAACAACGACCGTTTTTAGAGAGGTATTTTAGATAACAATCGATATTTAGAAATGTTTTGACACCCTGGAAATACTACCACCGAGCATGTCATTGTGACAACTTGCAACTGCGTTAATACGCCTGGCAGTGACCACCTCATACTCTTTCGGATATTTAGCAATAAAATAAAGAAACCTGTTATTTTTAAGCTGTTATTTTAAGCTGTTTTTTATAAATAACTATAACAGTTTCAACTGTTATCTAAAAATAACAGTTTTGCCCATCACTACACTTTTTCAAGCATCTCCAAGCTGTTTGTAAGAAATTTCACTTCATATATACGCACATAGTGCACACACAATTGTTTTTAAACTTACTTGATACGGTTTGATTTCAATCTGATTTGTATTTATATTGAAGGGATTTGTTTTTGAGTTTAATATATTTTTTCTTGATCTACAGATCCGTACGTTAAAGTTTGGCTGCAATTTGGTGACAAGCGAGTGGAGAAACGTAAAACCGCCATCTACAAGTGTACTCTCAATCCTGTCTTTAACGATTCCTTCTCTTTCAATGTACCTTGGGAAAAAATAAGAGAATGCTCTTTAGACATTATGGTTATGGATTTCGATAACATAGGAAGAAATGAGCTTATTGGAAGGATATTATTGGCCGGTAAGTAACCTAGTACCTGTGCTAGTACTAATCTACTTATAACTACTTATAAATATTCCTTTATAGACTAAACATAACACCATGCTATTTTGCAAACTTTGTAAATAATAAATATATCTAATAATATCAGCGTTTCAAGACAATGTTAATGATAAATAATATGAAATTAAATAATCATTTAAATAGTGTAATTATACATATACAAAGTTGTTCACCACATACGACACGGTGTATTGTAGCTAAACGATTAGATTTTTACAAATTATTGTAAGTTTTGGGTTTGTTGAAGGACTATTAGAGCTTCAATTTAAAAATATTTTTACAGATACAGAGTGTCCCAAATAAGTAAAAAATATTATAGTTGTATTTTTTTAAATGGAACCCCCTATATATTATTCTATTTCTGAATTCCACGATTGAAATATAGGTAAATTTGATTAGGGTTTATCACACTTAAACCTTACCGATTTTGAAATATTTTAAATTTTATGGAATTGCAGTAAAAATTTTAAGGCTTCATTTCTCCAAGGGTATCAAAGTTTTTAATATTAAATATTTACTGAAAATTATTTATTGGTCAGATATTGTGTTGCAATAATAACAATTTTACTACCTTATACAGAGTGTCCAAAATGTATATTAAATAATTACTAGCTTTAAACGGCAATAACTTGTTTAATTTAAATGGAAAACCCTGTATATTTTACGTGAATCATATGCACAATTTAATTGTCTATCAAATTTTATTATACTATTTTTACCTATCTCTTCAAGTTCTCGTAGGAAATGCATTTTCTTATAAATGAGCCCTCATTTATCACTATACCCATGGAATATTGACATTTCAGATTTTTTTTAAAGCAACATATATGTACAAAATGTACAGGTAGTAAATATTGCAAGTATACCAATTATATATACCACCATTACCAAAAATTAGTTAATTACATACTTTTAAATTGTTTTAATTAATAAAGCATTGTAAATAAATGTGGATTTGGCTCAGAAATCAATATAATAATAAGTTATGAAAATGAACGTCTCTATTTTTATAAATAAGCATTCCTCAAAAAATGAAATAAAATTTATAAGGTGTTATTTTTTACAAATCTGTCTAATACACACACAAAATTCAGTTTTTTAGTATTTGGAACAATTATTAATCATCAACGTAAACAGTCAATTAATGTAGTTTGAATACTAGGATCATATTAATTGGTCCTATTTAACAAAAATATTTAAGCATTTTTTTTATTTTTTAATGAAATAAGCAAACTATATCGCCAATATTAGTATCTGTACTTTTTGAAAATTTGTTACATCTTTAAAAATAATCTAAAATGTCAATATTCCATTGGTATAGTGATAAATGAGGTCTAAATTATAAGAAAATGCATTTTCTACGAAAACTGAGATGGGTAAAAAATGGTATAATACAATTTGATAGACAATTACATTCTGCATCTGATTCACGTAAAATATATAGGGTGTTCCATTTAAATTAAACAAGTTATTGCCGTTTAAAGCTAGTAATTATTTAATAAAAAATTTTGGACACTCTGTATAAGATAGTAAAATGTTTATTATTGCAACACCATATCTGATCAATAAATAATCTTAAGTAAATATTTAGCATTAAAAACTTTGATACCCTTGGAGAATTTTTACTGCAATTTCAAAAAATTGAAAATATTTCAAAAACGGTAAAGTTTAAGTGTGATAAACCCTAATCAAATTTACCTTTATTTCAATCGTAGAATCCAAAAATAGAATAATATACAGGGTGTTCCATTTAAAAAAATAAAACTATATTATTTTTTACTTATTTGGGACACTCTGCATCTTGTAAAAATATTTTTAAATTGTAGCTCTAATAGTCCTTCAACGAACCCAAAACTTACAATTTGTAAAAATCTAATCTTTTAGCTACAATACGTGTCGTATGTGGTGAACAACCCTGTATATTATATAAATAATATTAATAATATGAATGTTAAAGTAATTGAAACGATGTTTTACCTCATCCGTAAAAATATAGGAAAATTATATTGAAAATCAATCTTATATTACTGCTCAATAATCGTTAACCTTGGAATGTTTAATATGTCTATTTATATGAATGCGCCTGCCAAATATATGATTAATATGTAATAATCTAATTAATTTAGGACAATGTAGGATAATAAATCAAATCGGTTTAATTAAAACCTACTTATCTGACTTATTTGATTTGTAGATTTATTCTAGTAAATTTGATAGCACTAATTAACAATAAATCAATTCGGGGATAAAAATATTTAATAACCAGAGATGATTTTTTAAAAAGTGAGTTAATAAACAAATAAAAATAAATAAATAACACTGGAAAAACAATATGTGCAAATTATACAAGCACAAGCACAACATATACCAGTGAATATATTATAAGTTCCAAGAATTAAAAATAAACAATTAAAAGGAACATACAAAATATGGTTCAGTAGTTTTAAATTTAAAACTTAAATAAATATAGTTAAATTTCTTTCAATAAGTGGTACACGTAAAAACACGAGTTTTGATAAATTAATATATTGTCAAGGTGTATGTGGCGCCATCTGTCGGAGAAGCGAGCAACTAAAACCGCAACGTGTCCAGAAACCTGAAGACAATATTTTGTTGTAGCGCCATCTCTTAATCAAGTCGACAAGTAAGCGAAGCAGACAATAGAATGTACTAGTAGATGGCGGACCCGTCCCGATAATTTTAGATTGTTCGCGAAACACTCACCACAGCTATATAAAAGGAGCGCTTACGACAGTTGGGGAAGTTTACAGTTTTTGAAATTTGAATATACCGCGTGGAAATTGAAAATCGGACAATTTGGTGAAGGAATCTTATAAATAGTTAGTTTGTTGTGTGTTATAAGTTAGTAATTGTGTATAAAGTGAGAAAATAAATTCGTTAAGTATTTTATCGTGAGTTTAAATAGTGGACCCACGGAATCCGTAACAATTGGTGTCGGAAGTGCGATTCAAGAGGATTTTAAGAAGAAATTAAGTGGATTGGAAGATTTTTAGACCGAATTAGAGTGTTTTTATGGTTGGTACAAGGGAGCAAGCGAAGAAAATGGAGGAAGTAAGCAAATTATTGGGCGATTTTATGGAGAATATGAGAAGAGAAAAGGCAGAAGAACAAGAGAGGCTGCGAAAAGAAAAAGCAGAAGATCAAGAAAGACTCCGTAAAGAACGAGAAGAAGAGCGAGCCCGATTAGAAAGAGAAAAGGAAGAGGAAAAACTACGACGTCAACAAGAACAGGACCGGCTTGACAAAATTTTTGAAGATTTGAAAATTCAACGACAACAAGAAAAACAAGAAGAACAAGAAAGACTACGTAAAGATAAGGAAGAGGAAAAATTACAACGACAACAAGAAAAACAAGAAGAACAGGACCGGCTTGAGAAAATTTTAGGCAATTTAGAAATCCGTCAGAAGAATGAATGGAGGGAAATTTTAGAAGATATAGAGACGCACCGCCAGAAAGAAAGACAAGAAGATCAAAACCGTCTTAAGAAGAACTTTGAAGAACTAGAAAGAAGGCAAGAAATCCACCTTCAAGAAGCCGTAGAAGATCTGGAGGAACGCCTTCAGCAGAAAATGGAAAAATTAGAGATGGACCTACACAAGACCAAGGTACAAGTAAGGACACCTGGCGTTCCTGGAACTGCGAACCTTAAGGCCCCGACCTACGATGGACAAACGACCTGGACGATGTACCACCGCCAGTTTGAAGCAGCAGCCGCTGCCAACGGATGGACCGACCAGGAGAAAGCAGCGGCACTTGTCATCGCGCTGCGTGGCCCTGCCCTGGAACTGTTGCAAACTATTCCTGCAGCCCAACAGCAGGAATACCAAACTTTGGTCGCTGCACTGGACAGAAGATATGGCGACCAACATCGACGCCAACTTTACCAGGCTCAGATCAAGACACGCCTGCAGAGGTCCGGAGAGAGTCTGCAGGAATTTGAAGCAGACTTACGTCGGCTGGTACACCTGGCATATCCAGAAGCACCGGAAGGATTTAGGGAAGAACTCGCTGCTCAGTGCTTTATCAGCGGACTGAGGGACAACGAATTAGAGAGGGCGCTGCAAATATCCCGATTTTCTACCAGCAGCGAAGCACTGGTCAGGGCGCTGGAAATCGAAGCTGCTTTTAGCGCCATCCCTAGACCGAAGATAAGATCGGTAGCGGTCGAGGAACAGCCCGAAAACACTCACAGAGGTTTGGAGGAGATGTGTAAGAAAGTCGACAAACTATGTGAGCTACTAATAAACAAGGGAGTCAGCAACACCCAGACAGAAAACCAGAGAAGATTCCAGGACATAAGGTGCTTTAGAGGTGGCAGGAATGGCCACATTAAACGGTATTGCCGCGTTCAAATGCGATCCCGTTCACCATCCAGAGAACGTAGGCACCAGGAAAACTAAAATCAGTCAATACTAAGGGGCGAGTATTGACTGGGGAGAACAGAGCCCCAAGGATTTTTTCCATTAGAAATCTAGGAAGAACCGCTGACAGTTTGGTGATCGACGGGAAAGTCAATGGAAAGGGAATCCGAATGACAGTGGACACTGGCGCTATGGTTTCGTTGGTGCGGGCTAACTCAGTGCAAGGATTGAAGCTGGTGCCTCTGAGAAGAAGAGTGTGTTTACGTACAGTTACGGGGGAAATGGCCGTTGTACGGAGAGGCTATCGTCGAACTGAAGTTAGGAAATTTGAAGTTCCAGCATAGCGTTTTAGTGGCAGATATTGAAGATGACTTCATCTTGGGCATGGATGTGATTCGTCAACATGGATTTTCGTTCGATCACCAGAGAAATATCTTAAATATTGGAAATGAAGAGTTCATGTTATCTCCAGACGAGGACCAGGAAGAATGGATGTAAGATCAGCGGAAACTGTGGTGATACCTGGTAATACCGAGAAGATCGTATTCGGTAAAGTGGAGAAAATCGCTGGGTGC